AAAAGATCTCTTGTGGGCACAAGGAGACTTCAAACTGATGATGTGCTTGACTCCTCCTTTGGGGGGTGAGTCTGATCATCAAGTCGTAGACAACTAAGCTCAGAGACCACCAAGGACCCCTCACTTCAACCCTCAGTTACAAATATTCTCCTTTTTTGGAATATGTTCTCTCAGAGCAGAGGAATATACCTCTGACAATTGGTGGATGAACTATTGGTGTGAAAGTTGCTCCCAACTTGACAGCACATCCCGGGGAAAAAAAGATGGGCTTAGATGCATACCCCAATCCCATCTATTGACCACCAAGGGTGCCCTTTCATGCATGCCATTTGATGCCCTTTGCGCATGCCCTTCCAGAATCGGTAACCATCCTTTGCGCTAGCCTAAGTGGTTGGGAATTGTTTTCCAACACATCGGGAGGGGATGATATTGCCTACTTCCTTGAGAACAGTGGTCACTATGAAGCCTTTCAAATGACAGATGGATTTCAAAAGGAGCTTTATGTCAGTCCATGTGACATGGTGGAGACTGAGTAGAGCTCATTTTCCATTTTTGGTGAATGTTTTGTGAAACTGTCATTGAAAGTTTCATTGGTCTGTGGTTAGCTCGCTTTCTGAAGACCACAAGAAAATAACAATTCAGCATCACTGTTTTCGCTCATGGTTTTCTGGAGTTGGTGATTTAAAACATACTGAAATTTTAATCATAGAGTCATAGAGCTGGAAGGGACCTTGGAGGTCTTTTAGTCCAACCCCCTACTCAAGGCAGGAGTCCTTATACCATCCTGGACAAACGGTTGTCCAGTCTTTTCTTGAAAACCTCCAGCGATGGAGCACCCACAACTCCAGAGGCAAACTGTTCCATTCATTAACTGCTCTCACTGTCAACAAGTTCCTCCTTATTTCCAGGTTGAAACTCCCTCTGACAAGCTTCGTTCCTGCCCTCAGGTGCTATGGAGAATAAATCGATCTCCTCTTCTCCGTTACAGCCCTTTAAGTATTGGAAGATTACTATTGGGTCTCTTTAACACTTGTGGACTTCAACTCCACACTTGTGGACTTCAACTCCCAGAATTCCCCAGCCAGCCATGCTGGCTGGGGAATTCTGGGAGTTGAAGTCCACAGGTCTTAAAGTTGCCAAGGTTGGGGACCCCTGCCCTAAAAGGTACGCTAGGCTGGAAAATCATACTCAGCACATTTCCATGCGCAGAGACTTGAATCTGAGTCTCTCAGTCCAGTTTCCAATCATAATACCATGCTGGTGTGATGGGATAAAACAGGGCTCTCAAAATTTGGCAACTTTAAGACTTGTGTACTTCAGTTCCCAGAATCCCCCAGTCAGCCTGGCTGCCGAGGAATTCTGGGAGTTGAAATCCGCAAGTCTTAAAACTGCCAAGTTTGGAGGCCCCTGGTGAGGATTAGTACTCATTGACGGTTTCAGATGAATTTGTCTTAGTAACTTTTCCAAAAGTTTAAATTGGAGATTATCGCGATTCCACTGTTTAGCTTTGGGCCAGTTACCTTGACGCATCTAACAGTGCCATTTGACGCCCCCCCCCTATTAATATTACAGAGGAGGGAGAAAAATCTTGGCTTTTCCCACCTTGTGCATTGTTTCCCACATCTCTAGGGTGATTTCCCTTAACTCAGTGGTTCTCAACCTTTTTAATGCCGCGACCCCAACCGGTCGTAAGTCGAGGACTAAACCGGTCGTAAGTCAAGGCCTAAACCGGTCATAATTTGAGGACTAAACCGGTCGTAATTTGAGGACTAAACCGGTCGTAAGTCGAGG